GCATCCCCAGAATAAAGCTCAAGAAAATTTATAGAAACCGAAAAAAATAGCAACCAACAAAGAAAAATTCACAGTGTTTGGCATCCAAAACAAACAAACAAAACCTGTCAAGCATGCAAAGGAGACAGAAAATAACAATCTGTAATGAGGAGAAAAAGCAACCAACAGAAACAGACATGGAAATGACACAGAGGACATGATTAGTAGACTAAGGGCCTTAAAACAGTAACTACTTTCCACATGTTCAAGAAACAAGCATGGGAAGGAGAGACATGGTAAAAGAAAACAAAACAAGACTAGTAGTGGTCTTTCATTCCATCTCCTCATTTTCTGATAGTTATTAAAGCAATTAGTTTCTAATTCTCTTTTAAGAAACAGTAGGGGTATCTTTATCCTTTAAAATATTGTGTGGGTAGGTGTTGCCCTGATTCCAAAAGAATCACTTTGTGGCTTTACTTATTTGTCAAAGGCTTTCATCTCAGCAAATTTTAGATTGCAATGGGCCTGAGGTAAGAATGTGCAACCTCAATACTGCTCATGCAAAAATAAATGGCTGGAGGTTTTGGAAGATCTTACTAAAGGCCAACTACTTCTTTTTCTCTCTCTCTCTCTTTTTTTTTTGGGGGGGGTCATTTCTCCTTTCATATTTTGATACTGTTGTTGCAAAAATTATGAATTTTAAAACCTAGTAAGTAACATGAGCTCAAAGTATTGCACAGACTGGCTTGACATGAGATTTGCAGGATTGTTATGGCTCTTTTTTTTTTTTTTTACATTATTTCAGTGTGGTAAAAAATATATACAACATAAAGTTTAACATTTTAGCCATTTTTAAGTGTATAAGTTGGGCATTAATTACATCCACATTGCTGTGAATGTATCCAAAAAAAATGATTTCATCACCCTAAACTAAAACTTTGTAACCATTAATCAATAGCCCCCAATCCCTCACTTTCTCCAACTCATGCCACTGGCCCCTGTTAACACCAATTCTGCTTTCTGTCTCTATAGTCTAGGTTTCTAAAATAAGTGGAATCATACAATATTTGTGTTTTTATGACTAGCTTCTTTCACTTAGTATAATGCTTTGAAGGTTCTGGAGCATGTCTAAGAACTTATCCCTTTTTATGACTAAGTAATATTCCATTGCCCATATATACCCCTTTTCATTATCTATTCATCTACTGATGGACACTTGGGTTGTTTCTACTTTTAGTTATTGTGAATAATGCTGCAATAAAATTAGGCATATAAATATCTCTCTGAGTAACTTTTTTTTTTTAAATTTTTTTAATGTTTTATTTATTTCTGAGAGAGAGAGAGAGAGAGAGAGAGAGCGAGAGCGTGAGCGAGCATGGGCAGGGGAGGGTCAGAGAGAGAGGGAGACACAGAATCCGAAGCAGGCTCCAGGCTCTGAGCTGACTGTCAGCACAGAGCCCGACGCAGGGCTCAAACCCACGAACCGTGAGATCATGACCTGAGCCGAATTGGATGCTCAACTGACTGAGTCACCCAGGTGCCCCTGAGTAACTATTTTCAATTTGACTGCATATATACCTAAAAGTGGAACTGGTGGGGTATATGGAAATTTTATATTTCATTATTTAGGAAATTGCCAAGCTGTTTTCCACAGTGGCTGCACCATTTTCCATTCTCACCATCACATATGAGGATTCTAATTTCTCTATATCCCTGCCAACTATTATCCCCCCCCTTACCCTTTTTTATTATAACTATCCTGGCAGATATAAAGGGATATCTCATTATGGCTTTGATTTGCATTTCCCTAGTGACTGTGATGATAACAATCTTTCATGTGCTTACTGGCCATTTGTATATCTTTTCTGGAAATGTCTATTCAAGTCCTTTCCCCATTTTTAAATATTAAACACTTACAGTTATATGATTTGCAAATATTTTCTCCCATTCTATAGGGTTGTTTCTTTTTTTCACTTTCTTGATAATGTCCTTTGAGATGCACAAATGCTTTTAGTTTGGATGAAGTCCAATTTTCCTATTTTCTCTTTTGTTGCTAACGGTTTTGGGGCCATCTCTAAAAATCCACTGCCAAATTCAAAACCGTGAGATTGACTCACATTTGCTTCTAAGAGTTTCATGATTTGGGTTCTTATACTTAGGCCGCTGATTCATTTTGAGTTAACGTATGTACATGCTGTGATGGAGAGGTCCAACTTCACACCTCTACACAAGGAAATCCATCATCTGTTCAAGAGAAAATATCTTCCCACCTGAATGGTCTGAACACTCATATCAAAAATCAATTGGCTACAGATGTTAGACTTATATTTGGAGTCTAACTTCTATTATTCCATTGGTCTGTATGTCTAATCTGATGCCAGTATCATACCATTTTGACTACTGCAGCTTTGCTGATAGTTTTAAAGAGTCTCTCAGTGTGGTTCTTCTTTTCCAAGACTGCTTTGACCACTAGGGTTTCAAGCATTTACACATTAAATCTGAGTATCTGCTTTCTCCTGTTTGCAAAACAAAGGATGCTGGAAATTTTCAGAGTAATTTCCCAGAATCTGTACATTGCTTTGGGAAGGATTGACAACACAACGATGTTAAGTCTTCCTATCCATAAACACAGGATATACCTTGACAATTTCTTTTGATCTAATGGAAAGTGAATTCAGGGCAACCAGTCAAAAGATCTCAATGACTGAACAATACTGTGCTCTTGTCCCCTGACTTACCATGGTTTTCATTTTTCTACTCTGTAATGAAATTATGATTAACTGGAATAATCCTGGCAAAATTTCCAGGGCTAGTAAGATCCCATTTTAAAAACAAAACAAGGGGCACCTGGGTGGCTCAGTCTGTTGAGCATCCAACTCTTGATTTCTGCTCTGGTCATGATCCCAGGATTGTGGGGTCGAGCCTCATGTCAGGCTCTGCACTGAGCATGGGGCCTGCTTAGGATTCTCTCTCCCTCCCCGCCCCCCAACTTTTTCTTCTCTCTCTCCCTCTGCCCCCTCCCCTATTTGTGCTCTCTAAAATCAAAAAAGATTCTCACCCTCTGCCCCTCTCCCCTGCTTGCACATGCACATGCTGTCTCTCTAAAATAAAATTAAAAATTAAAAAAAATTTAAAAATTTCAGGAGCTACTTAAGTATTGTAAACAACTTAGGGAAGAAATATTGTTATGGTTTTATTATTAGAATTTATAGTTCCATCATAAATTAATGAAACATAAAAACACACAAAGAAATATTCTTATACACAGACATACACAGCAAAAGACTGAGTTAGTATTACTTGTATAATGGATATTAAACCTTATTAGAAGAATGGGATGCAATTATCTACAACTAAGACATTAAGAGTACCAAAGAATAATTATACTTTGTTATTCCACTTATTTTTTTTTTCATAGTTTATTGTCAAGTTGGTTTCCATATAACACCCAGTGCTCATCCCAACAAGTGCCCTCCTCCATCCACTTAATTCTTTTAGGAAGTCAATGCTCTCTACATCAATTCTCACTCTAAATCTCTCACACTTTCCTGAGAGGTGTAGGAAGAAGGTTGGGTCTTGAGATTCTGTACCTTGGGTGATGGAGAAATGGATGGGAGATGATTACAGGGAATGATGCAAGGTTCTACAGCATTCTCTTACCTTTTATGCTAATGAACACTCCTTAGTTAAAAAAAGTTTTGAGCACACTCCTAAAATATACAAGTTTATAAATTATGTCCTTGAACTACTCCCCCCTCATTAAATTACGTATTAGGAAAGTTTAAATTTTTTTTTGTTTTTAGAAAAAAAATCAGTAAGTTCTAATACTTTTTTCTTGTAACTCACTGGATTATCTTGTACACCACGGTGAAGACAACTGCTTTAGAGTATTAAAAAAAGAGGTGCGCCTGGGTGGGTCGTTGATCAAGCATCTGACTTTGGTTCAGGTCATGATCTCCCGGTTTGTGGGTTCGAGCCCCACGTTGGGCTCTGTGCTGACAGCATGGAGCCTGGAGTTTGCTTCGGATTCTGTGTCTCCCTCTCTCTCTGCCCCTCCCCACTCTCAAAAATCAAAAAAACATTAAAAAAAACTATTTAACAATAATTTTTACAAAGGCAGACAAGGGCCAAAAGGTTTTTGCTCCTTATTATATGTTCTAACTCTGCTTATTCTTCTTGAAACTCAGAGAGTGTGAATTTCTGTCTCTTTCTTGAGAGTATTGTCTCAATCTGTTAATGTTCCTTCATTGTTAATAAAATACTAATAAAAATTTCTTCCTAATTGATCATTTTATAAGAAAGCTTCCAAGTGTTGCTTTCCAGGGGAAAGATGGGTCAAGAATCCAGTTATGTGACATGTTAGGATAGAAGAAAAGAGAGCCCAGAGGATCAGGTGGTCTTGGGAGTGCCACACGGGAAATCTGCCATGTTGGCAGACAGGAGGCTAGAGAGTGGTTGGAGGCAGGTCTAGGGGGGTGACAGAGCCCTCAAGATGTACGGTGTGTTATCACTAGGAGATTTCCTTTGGAAATCAGTCAGGAAGTAAAACTCCTTCTCTTGACAAATAGGTGGCTGGCTACTCATCCTTTCTAACAGGAATAAAAATGGCAGACAGGGATGGTTACCAACCTCACGGGCAAAGATATTACAAAGAACCCAAACTTAAATGACGTCATCTTCCAGGGGTAGCACTGCTGGACTACTTTTTTCATTTGCAACACTGACACTGAAAATACTATCACTACCCCTTGTAATCTCTTATCCCTAAGGTGACAAGTACTCCCACCCACCTAATAAATAATAAAGCATATTTTAGGTCAAAATAGAAAACAGAAGAAAAGCATCTGGCCAGACTCAACCATGATGCCAAGAGAGGGTGAACTGTGCTGTGCGCATAGACAGAGTGACGGAAAGGGATGACAGTGCTCGAAACTGAGACTTGACCCAAGGGATGTGTGGTCTGGTGGTTTTGTTTGATTTTTTTTTCTTTTTCTTTTTCTTTTTTTTTTTTTCCAACTTACATCACTGAGCCTTTCCCGAGAGCTGCTCCTGTGGAAGCCCTTGGATTCTCCGCTGGCGCTCTCGCTGTCACTGTCCCTGCAGCTGTTCTGGCCTGGTTTGAGCTAAAAGCAAATGAAGAGAGGAGAAAGAACAAAGTCAGTGGTCTTCTCACACAGCTGTTCCCTCGCCCACGTCTTTAAGTCTTGTCAAAGTGAACAACTTAAGGTCCTGCGTTTGAACATCCTTCTCAGCTTCAGAGCAGTACCAGGCGAGCTGCCGCAGGAAGAAACATGGAGAGCAGAATAAGCAAAACATTTACCATAAAATGTCAATGCAAATATGAGTGAATAAGCTTAAGACACACACACACACACACACACACACACACACACACACACACACAAACTTGAAAAAAGATCTAACAAAGGTCCATGAATCTTGGAAATTAATCTTCCCTCTGATTTGTCCTCTTCCACTGGGGCATTTGTGTTAATAATAAAAAGACCAAACACAGTGAATTAGCTGACGCCAGATTACACCAACTACAGTTGCCCACTTTATTTTCCCTGTCCTCCTCTGAAGAAAGACTACCACAAAACAGAGCAAAAGACAATGTCTTCTTCTCCTGGGAGAAAATGATGAAATGCTCCATGTTACTGTCTGACCACTGGGAAGACGATGCCCCTGGTTTCTGAGACAACACTGTGGAGGTACCAAATTAAGACACACAGCTTAGAGAGATTGAACTAGCACTCATTCAACAAATATGTATTAAGTGTGGCATCTGGGCCTGGTACTAAGAGCTGAAAATATGAGGCTAAACCAAAGGAAAAAAAATTTAAAGTAAAAAGTCTCTGATCTGATGAAAGTTACAAATTGGCAGTTTCTACACATTTGCATAGCTCTGATTTTCATGTTCAGAAAGTTCTACACATTTAACCAACATTTCCACTGAAATGAATAAACACACAGAACTGCAAACCATTAGTCTATGAGGCCATGAGTCCCCCCACATGTGGACCATTAATTAGCCTATGATGTCATCATCATCAACCACCTTTGCAGAGACCCCAAGCAATCCGACGCAGGGTATAATAAACAGCCCTTTTACAATGTTCTTCATCTCACAAGGGAAAGGCAGCAAGACAAGCAAATATAGTAACACAAGGAAATACATGATACATTAACACCAAACTGATGCAAGTGACATTAGGAAGAAAGGTAACCTCTGAAGCCTTGGATTTTCAAAGCGGATTGAGCTCATACGGCTGAGAGGAGAGGGGAAGATACTCTCAACAGGAGAAAGTCAGAAAGCAAAGGCAGAGAAAGCAACATGCTAAGAAATGATAAGAAGGAGTCTTATCTGAAACAGAGATTTCCTTCTGGGAGGAAATTGGAAGAAACATTATTGAGGGGCACATGGATCAGACATGGAAAGTCTCAAACAAAACGTAAGCCCCATACTTCTAGGAGGAGGGAATTTCAGAGAGGACAGGTAATAGGTAGCACAATTTCTGCCTGCAGGTTTTCATGTGGCTCGGGGACCAAGGCAGAATGTGAACCAAGACAAACGGAGAATGAATTGGAATCCAAGTCCCTTGTCAAATGTGCCTCTTTAAAAACTGCAGTTCAGACCCCACTCTGGGTCACACCAGCTAATAAGCTGTCCCCAAACCCCCACTATACAGAGCATTCTTTTTTGCTTTCAGCCTTTCTACAAATCCACTTTTACCACTTCCTTCTAAAACTCCCTTTCTTCAAAAGTCTTCTCTAATGGAACCCAGAAAAATGATACTCATTTTACTTTGTATCCTCCTGGGTCCTTAAGTACTTAGTTTCCTACTAAATTACCATGAAACCTGCTAATTCTAAATTAATTCAGAGGCAAGCTATATGAGCCTTTTCTTATTACTATGGAATAAAAGTTCAGAATATTGTCATTCTCTTCAAATTTTCATTTTTATACTTATAATAAAGGGGAATTTAATCTAAAATTAACATGACTTTCTTTCAATTTCCTGAACGTGCCATGTCCATTTCCATCCTGTACCTGTGTATTCACACTACGTTTCCTCAGCCAGTAAAGCTCACCCTCACCTTCTTTGTGCGTTTCAGGCCAAGATTGTTTTTAAAGGTCAGATATGATCCACTATAGTCTTTGAAGAGCTCTTTCTTTCTATATTTATTTTCTGATATATGCCTTCAAAGTTTAGCCAGTATATCATTCTTCATTAAATGGCTGATAATTACATATTTTCAAGTATGAAAAGGCTTATTGTTATTAAATACATCTGACTGTTGATAAAATCTGTATGTAGAATGGGCACTCTAATTTTGAGGCAATATCATAATTTTTATCTCCCTGGACCTCTGACTTAAGTAAAGGCAGATAAAGTTACTTCCAATGTATGAATGAAGAAACGAATAAAGCGAATGATATGCTCAGAATTAGGCAAGATATCTAGGACTCAGTCCATGTCTATACAGCTTAACCCTCTCTTCATTTTACTTCTTAGAACCCATTTAGTATGTTAGCATTTCACATGGAAATAATGAGTCTGCAATATGTTAGTATTCCCTATAGAGTATGTTTTAAATATATTTGTGGCACCTGACTTAATTCACACACAAAAAAGAAATCTTTCAAGGTGACATTTGGTCAAGAGGTGTTTATAAAAACTCAGTCCCTCAACCTAGATGAGAAATAAAAACCTAGTAGGGAATTAAGAGCATAAGAACATAAAGACTTCTCCTGATATCTACCTGGCTTACCAAAATCTGGACATGGCATTTGGGTCTCTTCCATGTTTCTTCATAGAAGGCAAACGATGACTTTAACAGGCCTAACAAGAGACTGCAGTGGCTCTGATGTAAATTATCTGACTAAATGTTGATCTAGGCTAAGGGCAAAACCCAAGAAGGACTAAGATGAAGCAGCTTCCTTGCCTTCCCTGTGCCCTTCCAGCAAAAGCACATCAGTGAATTCTCTTTGGAGAGCCTTACATAAAATCCGCCCCCACACTGCCCTTTTCTCCTCCAAAGCCAGGCTCAAGTTTAAAGGAAACTTAGGATTTTAAGCTGTCAGACAGCTCAATATTTCAAAGAAATGGATTGACTACAGTAAGTACTAAAAGCTAAACCACAAGATTTCAGGCAAAGAAGTATTCATTCCTAATCCCATGAATACATTTAAAACTGGCATTTTCAGCCATATCCAATGGATCATTTGGGGTAGCACAGCTAACTCAGAAGTTGTAATCCTTCACCTGAAATTCCCAGCTATTACCTACAACCAAGAGACATTACAAAGGCCAGGTGGTGGCTTAAACATTTAAAGACATAAGAAAAATCAATCCGCTTGCATTGATTTGTCCTAGCATCCATGGTGGCTGTTGTATGAAAGCTATGGCTGTAACAGATGCAATGAGATTTCTTACTATCACCTTTTAGATACATTAAAGTACCTTGTTTACTTAAAAATTACTATTAATTCACTCTTATTTCCAGAATTTTCTTCTCATTAGAATATTATATAATTTAGGCATCAGAATGAGAAAAAAAAATACAGATCTGGGATGGGTGGTAGTTTTCCTGTCAATAAGATTAACACCTTTTATAAAATATAAGAAGCCGAGTTGTTTTCCATTCAATTTCACTGTCAACAATATATTCAAAAACTCTGAAGCTGTGATCGTGTTGGAGTTAACTGTTATTAACGGCTAATTAGGAAAATAATGATCCATGGTTTTATCACCGCTAATGAACATGTAACGAAATCCCATCACCCTGGACTCAGCTAAGGTGGAGGAATTCTGTATACACCTGCCAAGATTGGTGAGCCAGGTGATGCCACTCCTTGACGTTGAGTTTGGAGAGTTCAAGATGCTAGATGCTCTGTGGGCATCATTAATCCTTCAAACAAAATTCACAGAAGGATAAAGTATGTGGAGATGATACCAATGACTGAAACTCAAGAGAAATGATGTGAATTATCCACCGCAATGCAGAAAAGCATCCAAAAGTAATCTCCTACCACCGTTTTGGTTCCTCAAAGCAGCATAAATCCTATGTCAGACTGCTGAGTTTTCCTGCAGGGATCTGAATGAACTTCACACAATGTTTTAAAAATGTGTCAATAAGCACAGACTTGTCTTTTTTTCAATGAAATTTTGTAACACGCTTTCACTAACATCAAAATGGAAAGTATTTAATCTTGTAAAGACATTGATTTTTTTTCCCCAAAATAAAACTTTTCCCACTTGTTAAAATCTTCTCCATAGACTGGGTGGAATTTGTACTATTTATTTTTTGAGTATAATTGACACACAATATTTTATTAGTTTCAGGTACAACATAGTGATTTCAACATCTCTATATATTTTTCTATGCTGCCCACAAGTGCAGGAATCATCTGTCGCCATATAATTGTATTATAATCCCAGTGACTATATTCCCTATGATACCAATTATGCCTAGAACTTATTCCTTAGATAACTGGCAACCTGTAATACCCACTCCCCTTCACCCATTTTGCCCACTCATCCCACTTCCCTTTGCCAAACACCACCGTATTCTCCATATTTATAGGTATGACTCTGTTTTTTGTGTGCTTATTCATTTGTTTTGTTATTTAGACTCCATTTCTGAGTGAAATAATATGGTATTTGTCTTTATTGGTCCAACTTATTTCACTTAGTGTAATACCTTAGGTCCATCCATGTTGTTGCAAATGCCAGGATCTCATTCTTTTATATGACTGTGTAATAGTCCATTTCATGGTGTGTGTGTGTGTGTGTGTATCACATCTTTATCCATTCACCTATCAATGAAAATGTGGGTTGCTTCCATATTTTGGGTCTTATAAATAATGCTGTGATAAACACATGGGTGCATATAACTTTTCAAATTAGTATTTTATTTCCTTTGGGTAAATAGCCAGTAGTGTGATGGTTAGATCATATGGTATTTCTATTTTTAATTCTTTAAGGAACCTCCATGCTGTTTTCCAAAGTGACTGTAGTGCATCTGCATTGTCTTATTCCTTGGGTTTTAAAAGGTACTTAGGATGAGAAAAACAGAACTAAACTACTTAATGAAAAGCTGATGCATCAACTTAAGCTAACAGGAAATACAAACAAAATTACAAATTTGAAAAGAAAAAACATTTTAAGAAATTGATTAATATATTGTACTTGAATATGTACAATATAACAAATTGTGCCTAAAAGGTAAACATTAAATTCTGGACACTAAGGCAGGGCAAGAAATTTGTG